ATCACCGCCATCATTATCATCATCACAGCAATTTGACGCATTCTCCAAAGATTCTTACCTCTAAAATGATTCTTAGTGATCATCATCATTAGCACCATAATCATCGTCATCCTCATTAGCACCATCATTATCGTCATCACCATCATCATCTTCCATCATCATCACCAGCATCATCATCATCACCATCGTATGTAATAATTTTTAAATGTTATCATTGTTATTTTCATCATTGTTGTCATCACCCATCACCAAGTACCCATCATCACCACCATTCAAAACTAAGTTATCATCATTATTATTAACTGTTGATAGGAAGTTATTGACAGCCGAGAACGTTCGCGTGTTTTTCGACGTGACTCATAAATAAACAAATAATTAATAAAGATATTTTTAAATTTTTAATTAAACCGCACATCCCTGCACAAATTGACAAACAATTAACGGAAACATAAACAATCAGCATAAACATAAACATAAACACGCGGTTAGAAATAAACATAAACACGCGGTTAGAAATAAACATGAACACGCGCCAACGAGTATAAAAGTAAAGTTAAACAAATAGAGACTTCATCGGCCGCAATGATGGTCCTTCGGAATGTTTTAACGTTTATGGTGATATTTATAATTTTTTTTATTTCCGCGCTATAGAAATTATTTTTAACATAGTTTTTTTTATTACGAATGGTACTTCACACACTCCTAGCTAACAAACAAATTAACTGTTATTAATAACTGGGCAGAATTCAACATCTGCTTAAACTGCATGTCCATCTTTGAAAGTGTATTCGGGGGTATTAATTTGTTTGAACGGTATTGTTAACGAGTTTTTAAATAAAACATTGCTATACAAAAACAAAATGTATCATTAATGAATCAGCTTGTATATTTATGTAAATGTAAGTGCGAAATCGTTCATAACAATCGGACAAAAAAAAACAAAGACAACAACAAATGAACCAAAAAGAAACAAACACTAACAAACAACAAAAACAAACAACAACAAAAAAACATCTACATAGATAGAGTAAAACTCACGGTGCCATCAACCGCGCATAAACATAAACGTCAGAAACATCTTATAAAACCTGAAAAATCGTAAAGTTTGCGGCAATTAAGAAGAGTAGAAAAATTCATCCAGACATCATCATCAACAACAACAGCAACAGAAACCAGCAGGCCAGGTTCCATTGAATTTTTGAATTGTTATGGGGGGTAGCAAAACTACAGAAGTGCAATTTTTAAAACTACACGTCTGAATTTACGTTTGATGAATTCATCTAAAAAACTCTGAATAGATAAAAAGTCATTCCTTCGAAGAAACAGTGATACTACCAACAACAACAACAACTCAGTTAATGAGAACATTCGGCAAAAAAACTTTTTCAATTACAAACGGAACGAAAAATTACACAAGAACATTTTGCAAATGTGGTAACAACTACAACAACAGCAACAACCAAAACAAACGCAACCACAATCATTATAACAATAACAACTCCAACAACAACCACATACAACAACCACAACAACAATCACAACAACAACGACAACTGCCACGACACTAACAAGTTGACTCCCATTTCAAAGGTTAACGTTGACGCGGCGATTTCAAAATTTACATAAATGTCCACATTATCCTTTATTGCGTGCGTGACAAGTTTCAACAACAACAGAATATAAACTAGGTCAACAAAAACAACAACAACATCAACAACAACATTGACAACAACAACAACAACAAAATAAGTAACAAACAAATTTAACAATAACACCATCAACACATACAATTTAAACAACGATTAATCACAATATAATTAAGACAAAAAAAGCAACAACCCCAATAACAAGTAAAACCAGAACGACAACAACCACAACAACGAATTTAACAAATTAAAAAGTATACATCTTAATTTCATATGATGACTTTTTCACCGTTACAAACCATTATATAGCAACAAATTAAACAAAAAACAAACATTGTCTACAACAAATCGTTCATTAAC